ACTATAATTCCCCCTTTACACTGGTGGAACTCAAACTTGCTCTTCATCAGTCGGACCTGATGAAGTTCACTATAAGATGCTGCACCATCTCTCTCTTGCCATTTTTCTGGTTGTTTTTAATCGGATCTGGCAGGAGAATGTTTTTCCTGATGTTTGGCACTGGGCTATTGTCCTCCCTTTCTCTAAACCTGGGAAGGATCCCAAGTTCCCTTCTAATTATCATCCAATTGCTTTGACTAGCTGTCTGTGTAAGGTCTTGGAGAGAGAGTGGTTAATGCTCGTCTTGTTTGGTTCCTCAAATCATACAACCTCCTCTCGCCCACCCAGTATGGGTTCTGTCGACAGTACTCCACCTTGGACCACCTGAATCGACTTGAAACGTTGATCAGGGAAGCCTTCCTCAAGAGGGAACATCTTGTTTCCATGTTCTTTGATCTTGAGAAGGCTTATGACACTACATGGAGGTACGGAATTTTGCGGGACCTCCATTCATATGGGTTGTGTGGCCATTTACCCATTTTTATTCAGAACTTTTTATTGGACAGGTGATTCCAAGTCCGTGTGAGTACGACTATTTCCCGTTCTTTTCCACAGGAACTTGGAGTCCCTCAGGGTTTGTCTTGAGTATCACACTTTTTAGAATCAAAATTAATTCTATCACTAAGCAATTTCCTCCTACTGTTGCAAACGGGCTCTATGTCGATGTCTTCCACATGTCGTGTTGGTCGTCCAAAATGAGGATTATTGAGCAGAGACTTCAGACTGCCCTCAGTCGCTTGTTGAAGTGGACCATAGCAAATGGTTTTACATTTTCTTTTTCCAAAATCGTTTACATGCATTTTTGCCATCAGTGGGGTCTACAACCTGATCCCGAGCTCCGTCTCAGTGATGTTGTTCTTCCCATGGTCCCTGAAGCAAAGTTCTTGGGCTTATCTTTGACCATAAGGTTACTTTCATTCCACACATCAAGAATACATGTCAAGTGTATGAGGGCACTGAATATCCTTCGTATCCTCTCTTCCACCTCATGGGGAGCAGATCAGTGTTCTGTGTTCAAGATCTATCGATCCTTGATTTGATCCAAACTGGACTATGGGTCTTTGGTCTATGGTTCTGCCAGGACCTCAGCATTGAAGATGCTGGACGTCATTCACCATCTGCGGCTTTGGCTTTGTTTGGAGACTTTCTACACTTCTCCAGTCTAGAGTTTGTACACTGAGACCCACAAACCTCCTCTTCACCTTCATCATTTGCAACTTTACCTACAGTATGCTACCAAGCTTCGATCCTTACCACAGTATTCCATCTGGGATTTTGTCTTTCTTTCTCGATGGGTCATGCTCTTTCGGAACAGATGGTCTGCAGTTCCTCTCTTTGGCCTTCATATCCAGGCACAACTGGCTGAATTCCACCATGGCTTATTACCATCTCCAACTGTGACTTTTCCTTGAGTCATCCAAGCAAGGTGGATACTCTTGATTGGAAGTACCATCTTCTCTTTGTTGAAGATCTTTCGAACCATCCTTCTATTCCTATTTACATGGATGGTTCGAAATCGGGTGACTCTGTAGGCTCAGCCATGATTTGCTGTAACTTGGTAGTTGCTCGTAGGATCCCCTCTACAGTTTCTGTGTTCACTGCCGAGTTGTTTGCCATTTCTTTTGCTCTGAATCATGTAGAAGCTGTGCAGTACAGTGTTTGTACTATTTATACTGAGCAATGCCATAACAAACTTTTCCAGATCAAACCTTCTGTTGCTCTTTGTTCGTCTTGCTTCCATAAGGATTGGAAGGAGGAAGTTATCCTGGCAAGGCTACACATTGGTCACAGTTTTTTAAATCATATTTTTTTTTATTTAGTATTGACCCACCAAAGTGTAGCTTTTGTGACACTCAAGTCACAATAGCTCACAATTTACTATCATGCCATCATTATGATTGTGAGCAGTGGCACCATTTTAGACATATCTTTTTCTATGGGTTTACCCCTTTCATTGGATGGTGTCATTGGCAATAGTTACACTGTCCAACTTTATAGTATTTTTAATTTTTTAAGAACAATTGGCCCATTTAATTGTATTTAAATCTTTTATCTGAATTTTGGACATATTTTAGTTTTAACTCTATTTTTACATTTTACAATAATTTTACCCTCACTATTTTTTACCAGTTGTTTGGTGCAGATAGCCTAATTGCTTTGCACCAAAAAATGCCAAACAACCAACTTTGAGGTTCAGTATCTTTTGGAATTTTTTGTTAAATGAACTGGTAGCTGGACAACTTGGGATCACCATCATTTTCAGTATGTCAGAAATAATAACTGAGCAACTTGACCCATAGATATAGTTACTGAGAGCAAAAAACTTATTATTGTAATATATGGAAAACTTCTGTGGACAGATAAATTTTCATGTTGTTTATGTTTGAATTGATATACTTTCATATCTATAGATTTAAAATACCTTGTTAGAGTATTTAATAACATGTTTGATAAGTTTATGGATACAGAGGTGGCTAATACAAAATACAACTTTACTAAGATCCAATGCAAAAACAAACTGTACTTCTACATTTATAATAGTTATATAATTTTTAATGAACAGGTCTATAAACAAATGGTGGGTATTCCAATGGGTGCCAATTTCTCTTCAAATATGGCCAATTTGTTTCTGTTCTTCTATGAATACCTATTTAAAAAGAAAAGTTTAAATCCCAATTCATTTAATTATACATTTCGAAATATTGGTGATTTAATTTCAATAAATAACTTAAACTTTGGCCCAAATACAATATATCCTAAGGAACTGACAATAGAAAAAAACAATAGGAATGATTCTTACATTAATTATCTAGACATGGACATTTATTTTGTAGAAGGCAGAGTTCAGTTGACCCTTTTGATAAAAGAAGGAAATTTAATTTTCCTATCCGTGACTTACATTCTCCCCATAGTTTTATTCCTAATGTATTGTTAAAAAGAATTATTATATCACAATAGTATGGATAATGTTTCCTTATTCTTAAATAAACTAAAAAATAATGGACATAGAGATATACATAAAAAAAAAACGTTTTTACAAATTTTTTATAATAAGTATAAATTTATTGTAAATAATTAACTTTCAGTTATGGAAAACTCCTTACTTAGAAGTCATTAGTTTATCAATAGTGACCTGCCCCCCAGTGGCACAGCGGTATGTCTGCTAGAAACCGGGTTTCAATACTCATGGTGGGCAGAACACAGATAGCCCTTTGTATAGCTTTGTGCTTAATAACAAACAACAACAAGGGTAACCTTGAATAACTAACTTAGTTTTTTATTCAGTATGCTGGGACTGGAAAAACCAACTTCATGTAGGTGAGTCTGTCTCAGTTTTTCCCATGTCATACTTGAATAAATCTTTGAAATTTATAAGTAAGTTTTCTTACTTTCATTTACATTTTTTAAGGGTGGTGGTGGGAGTTCTATACTGTAGAAATTTTGAGTGGTTCTGTTTCTACTTTTAAAACTTAAATAAATTTAAGGGTAACTGCCTTCCCACATCTGGCTGCAGACAGCGAAATGCAGTAGGAAGTGAGACATTGTGGGTTTAAGCATTCACCTCATCACCCTTGTTTTTATTTTTGATGGTCAGGTTGTTTAACTTTGGCATTTTGGATTTAACTTGATAGATGGGATATCCCCAATGCTTTTTGGGTGCTGTTACCACAAGCTTTAACCGTTATGACTATAGATGACTAACCAGGAATGAAAATAAATGCATTAAATGATTATAAATTTTTTATTGTTTAATAGTGCTGATCTAAATCACCTATTTACAATAATTGTAATTAGAAATTATTGAGCTATTTATCTATTTATATATATATGAGATAGATATGAGGAAAGGAATTATTGAATATTTTCAATTGTATGGGATGTGTGCATAAGGAAAACAGTATTGAATTTTAAATTGTTCACATAATTTTCTAACTGTAAAAGACAATGCTGTTTTAAATATTTTTATTTATCTTTGTTTTACTGTTCTATTTAAAGTAGAATCTGATGCAGACGTTCCAGATATAAAAGACTGTAAAAGACAATGCTGTTTTAAATATTTTTATTTATCTTTGTTTTACTGTTCTATTTAAAGTAGAATCTGATGCAGACGTTCCAGATATATTATTATCATTACGTGAAATATGACATTATAGAAAATTATTACTAATTTTTTGTTCATTAATTGTTAGCTTTGCTAATATTAGATGAGGCTGTTTGAGTGTCATATCTCTATATAAAGTTCTTTTGATTTTAGTTTTGTAGAAACTAGAAAATACTTCCAAAGCTTTCTAATAATATAAGTACTATTAACATAAAAAAAATATTTAGCAGATAAAAAAAGTAATTTTACAATCCCAACATCAGCGTCATTTTGCTAGGTTCATATTAATTTGTCTTGGAGCTTTTTATGTATGTTATAAGGTTGGCTGAGGCCATGTGTATTTTTGAGCACAAGATTCACTGAAGTTTCATATTCTTAGGCTTATAGATAGATAGATTGTATTCATTCATTATATATATTAAGCTTTAGTACTTACTATAGTTATTTAAACAAGGTTGCTGTTGCTCAAGATATGATTTTACCCTACGAGCTCAATCTTAGTGTCTCTTTGATTGAAGTTTCAGATTTTATGTTCTTCATGATGAATTGTTCTTTAGAGTCAAGAATCAGTCTACACATTTTTGTGTGGATATTGAAAGAATAGATTCCTGTTACGTTATTTCCTCAGTAAAATTAACAGAACATCTTTAAATGTTAGTTTTGTGAAATAATTTTTTATATGAAGCATTATTGTATATCAACAGTCTGTTTATTAATGCTTTTGTAATGATTACTTATTCTTTTCATATTGATTTAGCATATTATGGCAATGAAATCTTTATTGTTGTCATAGGCTTAATTTAAAAATGTAAATGTATAGTGTTATTTTTTTGAATGAATTTATTTTAATTTTTTTCAGATACTTTATTCTCAACTTCCCTACATCAATGTGAAAAAACATCAAAAACAAGTGAAAAAAATAAGAAAGAGTATTCAACAATTGCTGAGGAACAACAGGTATTTTTAATGAGTTTCAAAAGAAAATTTGTATTCATATGTGTGAATTCTAAACCTAAACTGCAGTGTTGGTAGATGTGTGCCAGGATTTATTTTTCATTTTTCAAAAAAAAGTTGAAGACAGCAGTGTTATCTTGTAGAAATTTTGCTTTTTTCTATTATTATTTTTATTTAAACTATAACATGGCACAAATGATTTTTCTAGCTGTGATTTTTAATTTATATGTTCTATTCCTACTTCAACTTTAAAAAATTTTGTTTTAATTAAAATATTACTTTAAAGTGATTCATTATCAAAATATTTATTCTTTTTATTGCCGCATTAGAATTATTAAAAAAAAAGAAGACCATTTTTGCTTTATGAAATGTGGGCAAAAAGAAAAGTATGTTAAAATTCTAACTCTTACATGTAGTTTCAAGCCTTAAGCAAGAAAGTATTATTTTCTGTTGCATTTAGTAAAGAGAAATTTATTTCTGTTCATGTAGCCCTCTTTTCCTAAACATACTTGTACAACCTGACTACCTGCTTCATACAGAAGACCAGTTAAATTATCTTCTTCTGGCTCATGGTTAGTAACCAATGAAGTAAATTATTTAAACCATGAAAGAACTTCAAGTATTATGATTTTTGTTTTGTCATTTCTTACTTTTAGATTTAGTTTTAAGTAACTGTGATTTTGAGTACTGTTACTTATTGTGACTACAAATTACATTGAACCTTCCATATTAGTGTCATTTTGACTCAAGTTTTTGTGACACTAGTGCAAACATTGATTGTAAGTTTTGTTAAATTTCCCATATGTAAGTTTATATCTAGCATTTTTGTAGCTATAAGTATATTTTATTTTTTGCCATTACTGGATTTGAATTTTGTTCTACTTTACAGCATTTGCCATTTGTGATTACAAGATTTTTGTAGTCATCACCAGTGAAGTCTAATTATTGTATTATGTTTTTATGTTGTACTTTTGGTACTTTTGATGTTTTATTCATTTAATAACATACTTAGCTATTATTAAATCCTATTATAGTTTACTGTTTCTTGTTTATTTTGTACAATCCAGATAGTATTGATGTAAAACTCTAGTCACACTGTTGTAATGATCAAGCTATAATTATGCTTGTTTTGGTTTTCTTACAGTTAGTTTTAGTTTTATCAAGTCTGGGAATTTTAAGCCCTGTTCCAGGGAGATTTATTAATATCCTGATTTGTTATGTTTGCTCTGATGACACCAAGTGCTTAAGTATGCTGACCCCAAGTTGTGGGAACACACAAGAGATGGTGCTATGTTTATCATGCAGTAACTCTGTTAAGCCTGAAAAGAAGAGGTATCACTATCCTACCATGCTGGCTGTGTAAATGATGCAAATGCAGATGCCTTTTGTTCCTTGGAGAGGCAGAAGAAATGTTTATTACAATTGCAGTCTGGCATAGTTTTCCTTATTAATATTTTTATGTCTTTCAGATCCTCATAAGGATCATAGTATAGGGGAATGCTTTGCTAGTGTAGCCTGTAATGTTGTACAAAATATGCCCAAGAACCATGGACACATAAGTGTACAGAGGTGGATTATGTTACATTAAAATGATTTTTGAGCCTCACCACATTGTTACTGTTTGTATTGCAATATCTGGCCATGTCCATATACCAAAAATCTAGACAATAACCCTGCAGCATAGTTTCCATTTCAAAAGCATTCATCATAAGGTTGTCATGTCCAAAACATAACACTCCTCCCTGTATGCTTTATATACACCATCTAGTGCAGTGTTTCCCAACCTGGGTTGTACTGCCCCCCTAGTGGGCATTTTTAATATTGGAGGGGGGCAGTAAACTTTGAGAAGGTGGCAGGGGGCAGACAGAAAAGGTTTGAGGGTTTCAAATTTATATTTGTTAAAAATATACCATAACAATTGAATATTATTGCCTTACAATTTTAATTTTAGTAAAATATTTTAATGGCCTAAAAATTTATTAGAAGGGGATGAATGCTCATTGTTTGCTGAAATGGGTGCTGCAGCAAAAAATTTTGGGAAACATTGTTCTAGTGTATGAGGATGACAGTTTTTCAGTGCTGACTTTGAATGGAATTTCTTCATATGGAATATCATAAATACCCATTTCATTATCCAGCAACTTGAGGTGTGGTATGGTTGAATGAATGGGAGCCTTATTTTGATGAACTCTTACCTTGTTAGCCTCATTTTTGGGTGAATATCCTTCTTGATTATGTTGTGCACTATTACTTGGAACCTATGTATTCTAATCAATTACAAGATGCTTTGCTTAGTATGTCTGGAGTATAACTTGTTGTGGGTCACTTTTTGGATGATCCTGGTTCCTCAGGTTGATCCATTCTCCTTTGTCCTTTGTTTGTAGAAGGGATATTCTCACTTTGGAAATTCTAAATCCTCAATCTTAACTCATTTCTTTAATCTGAGTATATGAATATTTTGCCATTGGAAAAGACTGTTACTTTTGTGTTCCAAAAGGGATCAGTTTATGGTGACATCATACTATCTATGAAATTCCAAGCAATGTCAAAATCTACTTTGATTTTATACTGTCTATAGTTGTCAGGTGACTTTTTTGAGTTGAATGTTCAAAATCATTTTAATCTAACCTACTCAACCCACTATATATTGAAGATGTATTACAATTCCATCTAATGAACAAGTCGAGTTTCATGGAGAACTACAGACACAAAGTTAGGTTATGCCACCAGCTAACTCTGTGGTTGAAGTGATGCCTGAAACACTATTTTTTCATATAACACCAAGCTGCAATTTCATTTCATTTTTTCAGCATACACTTTTTTTACAAACATTTTCTCATAAGCAGGAGTTGAATATTTATAGTAACTCATCAAACCTTAGTGGTTTTTTTCCACTATTGAGCAGGATATTCAACCAAACACAATGCACTTTTTCATGTGTGGTAAAATATAGTAACATTTCTGTTAGTTGTGAAGTAAAATATTATTTACATTGAAAGATTCAACAATAAATAAGCCACTGTTTTGCTTGCTCCACAGAATTATAAGAGCTTTCCACTTTAATAATTTTTTCTAGGTGTAAAAAATCATATCTATAAGTAATCCATGCTTAACACTGTTGCAGAAACTTGTAGAGGTATGATATCTTATTCATAAGTTCATTATTTTACATTTATTGTGTTCTCTGTATTTTCATAAAGTTCTCCATGTGTATTTCAAAGTAGAATGATACTTACCCGCTTAAAGATTTGTAATCAAATATATTTTTTGGTAACCGTCAATTGACAACTTCAGTTTTTATTACTAAAAAAGAAAGATTAATATAATATATTTTTCTGGTTTATTAAAACAAGCTGCTACTCACAGATATTCTAAAACCATAGCTGTGAGGAGGGTCAATAAAAATATTTCCAGGAGATTCTATTAATTGATGATGAGGTTTTTTCTGTTTTTTTTGCATTTAGGTCTTCTACTATATTTGATTGTTGCAACATTGAAAGTAAAATTTTAGAAAAAGTTTAATTAGTAAGAAAAAGGAATGAAAATTTATCATTGATTTCAGTAAAAGTGTATATGTTTTTTGATACATTTAGTAGTTCTAGTTATAAGTAACAGTATGTTCCTTATTAGTAATTTCTTTCTGATATTTAATATAAGCTCACATAAATGGATGTCATAAATATAACCTATGATTCTCTCTTGTGTAGACTTTTGACATTGTTATAGCTCAGCATTTAGCATTTCAGTGTATTGAATGGTAAAAAAATTGTTTCAAAATAATGCAAGTATTGATCTTTTGAGACTATTTAATATGATTTCTCCCTATAAACTTTTTAATGTTAGTAATTTCTTTATATTAATGTAATGAAAAGTCTTATCTAGTCAGTTTTAATCATTATTTTTATGCATAAAGTATTTTGATGTATTTACTCTTCTAACAGTATGGTAGAGTTGTTTAGTACATTTTAACAAAAAATATTTTGAAAACTGGCATGTGTTTCATGTAACTATTAGTTTACTCCCAATTTTTATATTTCTTTTCGAGAAAAAAGCCATTAACATTATTTCAATGTACAAAGCTAAGTTCTGCAAACTTGAATGAAAGGTACCAGAAAGAATTTGCAATACATTTAGTAGTTTCAAATTTAAAACTCTAAAAAACTACTTTAGGGGACACAATACACCTGTCCATGGTATACTCACAGTGTGTGGTACAATACACCTGTCCATAGTATACTCACAGTGTGTGGTACAATACACCTGTCCATGGTATACTCACAGTGTGTGTGGTACAATACACCTGTCCATGGTATACTCACAGTGTGTGGTACAATACACCTGTCCATAGTATACTCACAGTGTGTGGTACAATACACCTGTCCGTAGTATACTCACAGTGTGTGATACAATACACCCATCCAGGGTGTACTCACAGTGTGTGATACAATACACCCATCCAGGGTGTACTCACAATGTGTGATACAATACACCTGTCCATAGTGTACTCACAATTTGTGGTACAATACACCCATCCAGGGTGTACTCACAATGTGTGATACAATACACCTGTCCATAGTGTACTCACAATTTGTGGTACAACACACTATCCAGGGTGTACTCACAATGTTTTTGGAGTATCTCCTTCATTGATAATAAGATTAATTAAAATCTGATTAAAAAAAGGCTTATCTTTCTATGGTTAACTTGTGTTCAGGGTTAATGATGAGGAGTTAATCAAAGTATAGATTGAACTGGACCTCCCGTGAACTTAGATTTTGAAATTGAACAATTTTTGGAATACTAAGTTTATTTATTAAAAGAAGCCTTTTTTTTAAAAGTTTGGTTCTGGTGCAAATATTTTTGAAATCCAATAATAATTAAGTGTTGACCCTATTTTTTATTGTAAAAAAGCAAGCATTTACCTTGTTATTAGTAACAATTTTGTATTAATCTTGAATACTTACATGATTTTGGGAAGTGTAGTATCAAATCTATAATATAATGTATGGAAAACATAATATCTTGCTTCTACATGATTTTATGGACATCAACAAGTGTAAACATGAACAAATTATATATTTCAAAAATTTATAATAACATCACTGGTAAAAATATGACTGATCTCCTGGAATTAAGGCGTCCCCGGTGAAAGATGGTATGCCAGGCTAATATTGTATTGTTCTACAAACAGGCTTAATTTCCCTTGAATTTGAAACTTAATTCTATGAGAAACAAAAATTAAGTCAACACATGCACAAATTCTACATCTTTTATATACATATTTATTTCAAATTCATAATAGTGACTAATATCTTAAAAATCAGTACTCCAATAAACCAAGTAATAGCACTTGCAAGCATGGTGACCTGTAGCACTTTGCTCACTGATAGTAAATCATTATCAGTTGTGCAAAATTTCAGTGTTTTGGTGAGCAAAAAAATGTACCAAAAGAAAACTACAAAGATGAATATGTTAATAAATATAAAGCAAGTTCAAAACTGTTTGAGTATACGAAAATATAACCTTCTGAACCGTAATAAATAAACAAAAGGGTTCTTTTATATTCTTCTCATTTACAGTAACAGTACAATTAATAATCAATTTATACAAATACTATGGTAAATCACTTTCTAACTTCTGTGGAACAAGCAAAATTATGGAGGGGCCAAATACTTTCTGAACTTCATTTGTCCCAGACCCTGCAAGACAAACAGATTCAAAAATATTTTCCTAAACTTGGACGTACTTGTATATTGTTCACAGTTTCCACCATCTGTTCTTTAGTTCAATGTAGAAGCACTGTCAGAGAGATGGGGGACCAGGCAGGCTCACAGATGGGGAGTTCTGTGGGCCTCACATGTTTATTTTCCAGCATGCTGTGGTGAACTAGCCTATTTCTTAAGAATTTTGACTTAATTTTTGAAGATTTGAAATTAGTTTTGCTGATTTGTACTTCATCAGATGAAAAAATTTCACCAGTTATGAATTTTGATTTTTTCTAGAAAAGCAGTTTCTGCATAACAGTTCCATAGTTTTGCCTGCTTCTCTCTTCAAGTTTTGGGAACCTCTTCTGATTACATTATTTATGAAACATGGTAATCTGCAGGCATTCCTAGAAATCTTGTTGTCAGGTAGCTCTGCCTGGAATCAACTTAATCAGAAAATTGCTGTAGCTTGGGTCACAAAGCTGATATCTTGCCTAGACACTAAAGGTAAGGTTTTAAAGTATGTTAAACTGTGCTAAGGTGTTTCAGAACTGGATGTGGCTTAGGGTTAGCATGTAGATGCATTATAAAAGTGACAGTCTCAGGCTTCCTAATGAACTAATAAAACCTGTTAAAGCCTATATTTTGAAAGTGGTCAGATATTTTGTGAAAATGAGTTATAAAAACATTTATTTTTTTCAACCAACGAGAACCACTCTTCTACATAATTATTTATGTTTTCATAAACAAAAATGTTGAAAACATAACCTTTGGAGAAAAGGATAGTAATGGTAAACTGTAATGGTAAATATAACCTTTGGAGAAAAGGATGGTTATGGTAAACATAACCTTTGGAGAAAAGGATGGTAATGGTAAACATAACCTTTGGAGAAAAGGATGGTAATAGTAAACATAACCTTTGGAGAAAAGGATGGTAATGGTAAACATAACCTTTGGAGAAAAGGATGGTAATGGTAAACATAACCTTTGGAGAAAAGGATGGTTATGGTAAACTGTAATGGTAAACATAACCTTTGGAGAAAAGGATGGTAATGTTAAACTGTAATGGTAAACATAACCTTTGGAGAAAAGGATGGTAATGTTAAACTGTAATGGTAAACATAACCTTTGGAGAAAAGGATGGTTATGGTAAACTGTAATGGTAAACATAACCTTTGGAGAAAAGGATGGTTATGGTAAACTGTAATGGTAAACATAACCTTTGACAAAAACCTGATAAATTGGTAAGTATTCATTGGAAAAACATAAATTTATTTTGGTTCCAATAATATTGTGATTTTGAGTGGATCAGGTTTGAAAATTGGTTGCTTGCCAAACATATCATTAAAGGACAACAAAGGTCCATTTGGTCCATCTAGGCTGTCATGTCCGCTAAATTGAACTAAACTCTTAAAAAAGAAAAAAAACCCAAAGCCAGACCTTATCATTCAAATACTCATTAGGCTTTCCCTTAAACTCCTTTAAATTAACTGCATCTACCACATTCAAAGGAAACTCATTTCAGCGGTCAACCACCCTGTTAGAGAGACTTTTACCTTGCCAAGTTTCATATTTATGTCCTCTAGTCTTATCATTCTCACTATTAATGGGCCCAGCAAGGCCAGGTGAGTAGGGAGTTCAACTTGCAGTCTGAGAGTCGTGGGTTTGAATCCCCTTCCCACCAAACACACTCACCCTTTCAGCTGTGGGGGCATTATAATTTGATGGTCAATCCCACTATTTGTTAGGGAAAGAGTAGTCAGAGAGTTGGCAGTGGGTGGTGATAATAGCTGCCTTCTCTCTAGTCTTACACTGCTAAATTAGGGATGACTAGTGCAGATAGCCGTCGTGTAGCTTTGCACGAAATTCAAACAAACAAACAAACTTACCATTAAATATGGATAAAAGATTATGCATCAATACCATCAGTTCCATTAACACTTTTAAACACCTCAATCAGATCTCCTCTAACTCTTTTTTTTTTTTTTTTTCAAGAGAATACAAGTCCAGAGATCTTAACCCATCTGCATACGTGTTGAGAAGATAA